TGTGTGTGTGTGTGTGTGTGTGTGTGTGTGTGTGTGTGTGTGTGTGTGTATCAATCAGCCTGTTTTAACTTATCATCACCATCATCATCTTATGGGTAAGTGTTTTGTCCACATGTGTGTTTGTGTACCACAAGGGTGCATGGGGTCTTTGAATCCCCCCCCCCCCCGGGACTGAAGTTACAGACAGTTGTGAACTGGCATGAGGGTATTAGAATCGAACTTGGGTCCTCTAGAAGAACAGCCACTGCTCTTAGCTGCTAAGCCATCTCTCCAACCTCTGTTTTGGCTTTTAAGAGCATCTCTTTGGTCTCTCTAAGGTAGACAGAGATGAAGGCAAGGAGACCGCGTAAGACAGGATGGCATTGGTCTGGGCCAGAGGTGTAGATGGCTTGGACCAGAATGGTAGCTGGAAAGGTATTGAACTGGGATGTACTAGGGAAGTCAAACGACCACTGATGGAAGTTCTCCCAGGTGGCCTGATGTGTATCCTCTGCCCTCATGTATGGAGCTGAAGGGAGGCTTGTTACCACTCCCTGCCTCCACTCTATTGCCCGTCATTGAAGCCTGCCATAATCTGTGCATTTTGCATTATACTCCACACAGATTCATAGCTCCTCTAATATAAAACTCGTATCTCTGCCTCTCCCTCTGCCCTACCCTTCAAGTAAAATGCAATTCCCCAGTTTCCTTTTGTTGTAGCACTTTGTACCCTGGACAGGGGCAGGTGGGGGAGGAGAGACGGTGCAGCCCATGATGAAAAGTTAGATTATTTAATTTAAGGTAAATGTACATGTTTAGAAGTCTCCGATATACAAAAACATGCATCTTGAAAAGTGGCCCTCCATCTGTGGCCTCTGAGCCCTGTTCTTCCTCTCATATGCCCATCCAGGGATTGTTAATGAGCAGTCATGGGGGTAAACTGAGTCACTGTGAAGGCCAGCTCCCAGCACTGCATTTGCTCCCATGCAGAACAGCCAGCCGGGCGCCAGGGGGTACCTGCCATTCCTGTTGCTGTTCTTGGCTCCAATCATGCAGATATTACACTTGAGCAGAACTAGACTATTTGCTGTCACCCTGCTTGGCTTGGGTCTGTGCCCTTGAAGATAGGCTTGTCCTTGAGATCCCCAGGTTGGCTGTTGTCTTCTCACTCACTCAAAATCAGCTGGCTGGAGAGAGGAAAAAATATATATATCCCAAAGCTCCTTGGGATGGGAGGCAGGTGGAGAGCAGGTGTGGAGGAGGCCAGGGCTGAGGAGGATTTCAGGGAAACTTTGTCATGCCTTCTGCTCCCCCATGCACCTGACAGCCTTCAGCCGCTCACCTGGAAGGTAGTACTCCCTTCTCCCTTTCCCGTGGGAATTCAGTGCAGCCACTGCAACCCCTGAACTCTGGGCCACTGCCAGCAGCTCTCAAGCCTTTTCCCTGTGCGAGCACAGTGACATAATGTCATTTTTATTGAGTCAAGATTAGATTTAAAAAGAAACATTTCAGAAGCATGTTATACATGATCTCTGATCCTTGCTTGAAGAACACAGAATTGCCCATTTCAACTGGCTTCAGCTTGAGAGAGAGAAAGACTATAAATGAAAATACTCTTCCTGTGTCTCCCAGTAGTGGAGGGCATTCAGATCACCTCTCACTTTGTGTCACTAACCAGACATCAGGAAGCCGAGTACCTGCCCAATGACACATGATGGCCAACAGACCCAGTACTTCTTGTACCGTAGCCAGAGAGGGATACAGCCAGGGTCAGTCACAGTAGTTCCCAGGATGCTGACCTGCTGGGATACGACAAAGCTAACCAGAAACACTTGAATTCTCTTTAGAATTCTTCCATGGGCTGCAGTTGTGCACACCTTTAATCCCAGCACTCAGGAGGCAGAGGCAGGTGGGTCTCTGAGTTAGAGGCCAGAGTGAGTTCCAGGACAGCCAGGGC